TAGGCCTGAAGGCGCCCTGTGCGAAAAATCTTTACAGCGCCCCCCTCCCTCTTCATACCCCTTTATCCATGTACAGTGTATGTCAATAGGTGTGTAGTGTTTGTATATATGATTTATTCATTTAATAATTATTCAAAAACAAAAATGATTCCCCCTTCCCTGTTATTACCTTGCAGGGAGATGGGCATGCTGAACTCTGGTGATCCAGTATGCTGGGAATCTGGTCGGCGCCTCCACCGGGTGCAAAACCATAAGTAACTGTCTTGTGAGCTCAGGCACTTAGTGCCAGAGCTTTCCTGTAGTAATCTGTGGCAACGTTCTGATTGGCTGGAGCTTGGAGGACTGCTACATATTGCATTTTGTATGAGAGAGCTCTGCTGTAATAAATCTCATAATAATATGATGTAGTGTGTGGTGTCTGTTTGTGATAGGAGTGATGGCTGTGTGTGATATGAATGCTATGTGTTGCTGTGTGTAATATTTGTAATTGTTGTATTGACTGTGTGTGACATGTGTGTATTGGATGTGTGATATGTGTGCTGATATGAAGAGCAGAGGTCGTGTACTGGTAGGTGGGGAGCAGGATGAATAGTGGAGGAGGGTGGGGGAGCAGCGGTAGTATAGTGGTAGGTGGGGGAGCAGGGGGCACAGTGGTGGTAGGTGGGGGAGCAGGGGGCACAGTGGTTGTAGCTGGGGGCACAGTGGTGGTACCGTGTTTCTCCGAAAATAAGACCGGGTCTTATATTAATTTTAGTCACAAAAAACACACTAGGGCTTATTTTCAGGGTAGGGCTTATTTATTTACGGTACCGGTATGTACATTGAACCCCCCCTTTAATTAATCCACCCCTTTAATAAATCCACCCCCCTCTAATTAATCCACCCCCCTCTAATTAATCCAGCCCACCCTTTAATTAATTCACCACCCCTTTAATTAATTCACCCACTCTAATTAATCCAGCCCACCCTTTAATTAATTCACCACCCCTTTAATTAATTCACCCCCTTTAATGAATTCACCCCCCTCTAATTAATCCAGCCCACCCTTTAATTAATTCACCACCCCTTTAATTAATTCACCCCCCTCTAATTAATCCAGTCCACCCTTTAATTAATTCACCACCCCTTTAATTAATTCACCCCCTCTAATTAATCCAGCCCACCCTTTAATTAATTCACCCCCTTTAATTAATTCACCCCCCTCTAATTAATCCAGCCCACCCTTTAATTAATTCACCACCCCTTTAATTAATTCACCCCCTCTAATTAATCCAGTCCATCCTTTAATTAATTCACCCCCCTTTAATTAATTCACCCCCTCTAATTAATCCAGCCCACCCTTTAATTAATTCACCACCCCTTTAATTAATTCACCCCCTCTAATTAATCCAGCCCACCCTTTAATTAATTCACCACCCCTTTAATTAATTCACCCCCTCTAATTAATCCAGCCCACCCTTTAATTAATTCACCACCCCTTTAATTAATTCACCCCCTCTAATTAATCCAGCCCACCCTTTAATTAATTCACCCCCCTTTAATTAATTCACCCCCTCTAATTAATCCAGCCCACCCTTTAATTAATTCACCCCCCTTTAATTAATTCACCCCCTCTAATTAATCCAGCCCACCCTTTGATTAATTCACCACCCCTTTAATTAAGTCACCCCCCGCCCCCTTTAATTAATTCAGTCCCAGACATAAAATATCTAGCGGTACTCACATTTCAAAGATTCCTTGCCGAGTCCGACCACTGGGAGCCTCACCGTCCGGAAATGGATCCTTCCGCTGAAGATCCGTGAAGGCAGACTGACGGCGCTGCAAAATGTCGTCATCACGTTGCGCGACGCTCCTCCTACAGCAGAAGAAGGAAGTCTCAACGCAAAGGTACAATGCCTAGGTCTTATTTTCGGGGTAGGGCTTATATTGCAGCCCACCCCGAAAATCCGACTAGGGCTTATTTTCGGGGTAGGGTTTATTTTCGGGGAAACACGGTAGCTGATGGAGCAGGGGGTACAGTGGTGGTAGGTTGGGGAGCAGGGGCACAGTAGTGGTAGGTGGGGGAGCATAGGTAGTGTAGTGGTAGGTGGGGAGCAGGGGGCACAGTGGGTAGCTGGGAAAGCAAGGACACAGTGGTAGCTGGGAGACAGTGGTGGTAGCTGGTGGAGCAGGGGGTACAGTGGTGGTAGGTGGGGGACCAGGTGGCACAGTGGTGGTAGGTGGAGGAGCAAGGGTAGTGTATTAGTAGGTTGGGGAGCAGGGACACAGTGGTGGTAGGTGGGGGAGCAGAGGTAGTGTAGTGGTGGGTGGGGGAGCAGGGGGAACAGTGGGGGAGCAGGGGTAGTGTAGTAGTAGGTAGGAGAGCAGGGGCACAGTGGGTAACTGGGGGGCAGAGGCAGAGTGGGAAGGGGGGGAGCAGGGGCACAGAAGGTAGCTGGGGGAGAGAGGGCACAGTAGTGCTAGCTGGGGAAGCAAGGGGCACAGTGGGTAAGCAGGAGCACAATGTGTAGTTCGGGAGCAGGGGCACAGTAGGTAGCTGGGGCACAGTGGGTAGGTGGGGGAGCAGAGGGCACTGTGGGTAGCGGGGGAGCAGGGGTACAGTTAGGCTAGGGGGGCAGGGGGCACAGTTAGGCTACGTGGGGGTAGGGGGCACAGTAAGGCTAGGTGGGGAAGCAGGGGGCACAGTTAGGCTAGGTGGGTGGGTAGGGGCACAGTTAGGCTAGGTGGGGGGGCACAGTTGGGCTGGGTGGGGGGGCAGCTGCACAGTTGGACTGGGTGGGGGGGCAGGGGGCACAGTTGGGCTAGGTGGGGGGCAGGGGGCACAGTTGGGCTGGGTGGGGGGGCAGGGGGCACAGTTGGGCTAGGTGGGGGGGCAGGGGGCACAGATGGGCTGGGTGGGGGGCCAGGGGGCACAGTTGGGCTGGGTGGGGGGGCAGCTGCACAGTTGGACTGGGTGGGGGGGCAGGGGGCACCGTTGGGCTAGGTGGGGGGCAGGGGGCACAGGTGGGGGGGCAGGGGGCACAGTTGGGCTAGGTGGGGGAGCAGGAACTGCCTTAACTTACCAGCCAGAGGGTTCGCCTGCCTGTAGCTCCGCCCCACTTGCATGTAGCTCCGCCTCTGATCCCTGCTTAACCCGGCCCCCTTTGTCCTTACTGATAGACCCGAGTGGGGAGCCTGGGGACTATCAGTGAGGGCAGAGTTAAGAGGCGGGGGGAGGAGCGCAGCCAGGCTACACAGCGTAGGCTGTATTAGGGGAGAGCTCTGAGCTCTCCCTCACAGGCTGTCACTAGGAGAGTGTGCGAGCTGTGTGGGCCACATGGCGCCCCCTGCTCCATGGCGCCCTGTGCGACCGCACAACTCGCACACCCCTAAGGCCGGCCCTGGGTATGACTACTTACTCTGGGGTGGAATCCTGGCACTACTGACACCATAAC